TAGCCCAGCATAAAAATGAGCTGGAATACTTCTTAAGTAACCAAGACATACAAGTAATGCTCATTTCTGAAACGCATTTTACAAATAGAAATTTTTTAAAAATACATGGATGTAAACTCTATCATACTCAACATCTTAGTGGAAGAGCCCATGGGGGCTCTGCAATTATCATCAAATCCACTGTGAAACATTATGAGCTCCCACCTAATTCATACCAGGAATCCATAAGAAACCAACCCTATCCAGACTACATAAAGAGAAATACCACAAAAAAACGTAAACTCAGAAGAATATGGCACCCTAATCGACTACCTGAAGACAAGCGTGGGCTTAACAAAGCTACGGTAAAACTGAAGAAAGTCCTCCATAACTTCAAAAACTACTGCTTTCAAAAATATCTAGGGAACTTGTCTCCCTCGGCGAATGCAAACCACTCGCTCTGGTAAGCAGCCAGAAGGCTCACTCGCCCACCCCAAACAATTCCTCCCATTGGCACTACGCAAGGAAGATGGGTACATAGTCCCAGACAAGGCAAATGTGTTTGCTCTCGACCTAACTGAAGTATTTAAATCTCATTGTCCATCGTCCAGCTTAGAAGAAGCAGAAATCATAGATTACCTACAATCCTCTTCCCAAATGTCACTTCTTATTGTACCTTTTACAGACGCAGAGGTGAGAGATATGGTTCAGCTTCTCAATGCACCGGGCACGACAGAATAACTAACAAAGAGATCAAAGAGCTCCTCAAAGAAGGAATTGCAATCCTCACATCAATATTTAACGCGATTCTTCGTTTAGGGTATTATCCAAAAACTATCTTGGAAACTGTCAATTATCATCCTTATTCATAAGCCGGGAAAGCTGATCCACGAGGCTCATATCCAATCAGTTTACTGCCAAACATTTCTAAATTATTCAAAAAATTATTCATCAAATGCCTCCATCCCATATTAGAAGAATTGAAAGTTATCCCTCACCACCAGTTTGGCTTTCGTAAGCGGCATTCAACAATAGAACAAGTCCACCGAATAGTACATGAAAGCAGTCAAGATCTAGAAAAGAAAAAATACTGTTCCGCAGTGTTCCTAGACATCCAACGGGCATTTGATAAGGTATAGCACGCTGGACTAAAGTACAAACTCAAAAACATCCTTCCTCATCCTTACTACTCCATACTTTAATCATACCTAAATAATAGAACGTTCAGAGTGAGATATCTAGACGCTAACGTTAATCTTTCCAATTAACTTCGGGGTTTCGCAAGGCAGTGTCCTTGGACTCCTCTTATATTTCTTGTATACAGCCGATCTACCTACTCCAGAGCTAATCTCTGCAACATTCACGGACGATACAGCTCTATTATCATCTCATGAAGATCCGAAAATAGCATCTACATCTCTTCAACGAAGTCTCGGCATCTTGGAAGAATGGTTCCGCAAATGGCGATTTAAAGTAAACGAAAATAAATTGACGCACATTACATCTACGAAGACAAAGTTGTCTATTAGTGACTTATAACAACTCAAATTCCGACCAAAGATTCGGTTAAATACCTGGGGTTGCACCTCGACAGAAGAAACTGCAGAAACAGCATATCAAAACTAAATGTAACTAACTGAAATTAATAGTTAAACAATATTACTGGCTCTTGGGTAGACAATCAAATCTAAGTCTTGAAAATAAATTATCACTCTATAAAATCATCTTGAAACCCATCTGGACCTACGAAATTTAACTTTGGGGTACAGCGAGCAATTCCATCATCGAAATACTCCAACGTTTCCAATCCAAAATGGCAAGAATAATCACAAATGCACCTTGGTACGTAACAAACGAAACAATTCATCGTGATCTCAGGATCCCCACAATTAAAGAGGAAATAACAAAATACAACATCAGATACAACTTGCGCGTGAGTAATCACCCTAACCCTTTGGTCACTCATCTGTTGGATTCTACAGGACACACACGAAGACTAAAAAGATACTACCCTGGACCTTCAGTGCAGGTTTATATAAACATCCAAAACTATGTATCTCATTAATCGACACTAATAGTAGTAACTACTGTGCATGCCATTGACTCACGCGAGCCTATTTACTTATAATGATGGCTACTACTGACTCAATGAGGATTGATTGTAATGTTCTTACTGAAATAAAAAAAAAAAAGAATTTTTGTAGTTCTAGGGTTTTATTTCTAACGCTTGTAGTGTTCCCTAAGGTTAATTTTAATGTTTAGGACGCTAGTTGCGTTCCATAATGTGATTTTGAGTGTGGTATTATCGTCCAAATTCAAGTTCTCTAACTATTAGTATTGTTGCCTTCATCCTTTCGATATTATTAGTGCAGTTGATGTAGTGTTTTTGTGTAAGTTCCAGGATTCTGAGGAATGTTTCCAGGTCTGAGTCTTTGATTTGGTTGATGGCGTTGCCTATTGGGATTCCTGAGTTGGTGTGTGTGGTTGGGGGTTCGTGGAGTGTTGTTGGTCTGGAGAGAGCGTTAGCGTATGTTAGTGGGTTGTCAGGGGATGGGGGTGTTCTAATATGCCCAAATAGGGAGTTTTTACTGTTTTGGGGAGGGGAGGGAATGCTAAGATTGGAGTATGAGTTCTTGCGGGTTTTCGAGTTGCTGTTGTGCTTTGTAATTTTTCTTTTTGGCAAGGTAGTTTAGGAGGGCTGGGCACTGAGAATAATTCGCCGTGTGGCTGCCTTGGTAATTTGCACAGATAGATGTTACGTCTGGTGTTTTTGTGCATTCGCTCGTGTTATGGGCTTCGGCGCACTTAACACAGACTGCGTTCTTGTTGCAGTTTGTGGAGGAATGTCCATATGTACCTGGCAGCGATAGCATTGTATGGAGGGTTTATGGGATTCATATTTCTCCCAGTAAACCGTTCGATGAAACTGGCTTTGGCTAAGGTTGTGCCTGAGGAGAAAGTGATTCTGTATATTGGATATTTCGTGTGAGTAAGGATTTCAGCGCAGTTAATAGATTTCACTCCTTGTGTCTTCAAGTTATTTAGTATGACTCTGGGGTCGAGTTTGGTGAGACCCTTGAGCACTACTGTGAGTGTTTTTTCTGAGTTTATCGTGAACGTGTGGAATATCTTGCTTTCGGTATACGTTCACGAAATCTTCTATTTTCTGGAACATGACCTTCAGTTTTTGGGAAACATATTTCACATAGAATTTGTCTCCATAGTTTGTTTTTAAGGCTTCCAAAAGTTTTGTGTAATTTATCTTGTCGTGCAGATAAATGGGGGGGGGGGGATTTGGCGTTACTACAGGTAGGTTTTCAGGAAGTGCAGGCGGGTCTGTGGTTTCGTTGTTTGTTTTGTCGTGCTCCGCGTCATGTAGGAGGCAGTCAGAGAAGATACTGAAGCGATTTTGGGTAGGAATGTTGAGCTTCGTTTCCATACCTGCTGTGGGTATTGTTGTTGGTCTTGAGTCGGAGACAGATGTTGATCTTGATCTTCTACGTTATAAGGTGGAGTACATACTCCGTGGTTTTTCTTTTGGCCCTGGGGCATGCGTCGGTGATAGTCGCCTCCGTCGTGCAGTTCGTGTTTTTGCTCGTGTGTACGGCACAGAAATGTCTTACTAGTGAGGAGTCGAGATACTTTGGGGTTGTTCCGACACCACACTTGGTTAGATAGCTGCCGCACGGAGATCGATGTTGCTCCTACAACGGTTACTGGCAGTAGTTTCTCCCTGCTTAATGAACTGACTGCTAACTGTGAACTCCAACTAGTTCAACTAACTTCAACTGTGTCAACTCAACTCGAAAGTAATGATGAACTGAAGAACTCTAGCTCAACTGAACTGAACTGAACTCAACTCAACTCAATTCGACTAACTGAGTGATGAACTGTTGTGTTTGGCGCGTTGGAGTTGGTCCTTACATATTCCGACTCTCTTTGTATCCTTTCCGGTCAAGAGATCAGAAAGTATATTGTTCTACTGCAGTTTACACGGTCAGGCTCATGAGAGATTTTTTGACAATTATCTCATGGCCCTGACAGTACTGCGTTCTGGGTCCACGTCGTTGAAAACGACATATTTATGATGCTGTCTGGGTCGTGTCCACATACAACACATACAATTCTATAATTTTTTCTCCTCACGAAACGAAGGAAGATCCACTATAATCTTAAAAAAAGGAAAAATGCTTTCTACAATTCCGTAAAACTTGCTACGTAACAAATAAATGTTAAAACTTCTTAGTCTTTTAATTCGAACGTAAAAATTTAATATAAAAACGTTAAAAAAGGATCGTACAGCAAGTACCATTGCAAAGAGAAATTTTCAATTTTCAATGTTCGAAGAGAATAAAACTATCCTTACTTTCTCCAAACTTTCGTGAAAACACTGGACATTTACAGTCATAAATGTAAAGTCTAGAAGCCTAACTATTCTTAAATACAAATTTTTCGTTACAATATATAAATATATACAAAATATTTCGTTAAATGCAAAATATTTCGTTAAAAATATAAGTAAGCGTCGTCTTCGTCTCCGTAGCAACCAGTTTTCCAAAAATTTGGGTTAGGTTTGGGTTAGGACTCTCTCTAGTAACTAGCGTTTTCAATGTTAAATTCGGTTTGTAATTGGATTCGTGAAGAACACCCCGGATATACTGTCCCGTGTAACTGAAGTACTCGTTCTTCATTGTCCTGCTAATTGAAATCCGACCTTGTTGCTGTTGCGCGAACGTTAAAGCGGATATTGCCAAAAATGTAAAATGGAAACCATTTTTCGTCGGTTTCATTCAGAGGACTCCAAAGTTTTGTCTCTGAGTCTTTTTCTTTTGAATCGTCCTCTTTCATAACAGCCCGAAATTCAGAAAGATCAGCAACAAGTCCATCCTAATTTTTTTCATCAGGTTCTTCAATAGGTTCTCCAAAAATTTCTTCAAAAGGATCCTCTGATTTCTTTTCGGTATTTAATCTTTTTAATTTCCTTTCAGCAATTCTTTTCGATCTCCTGACGGGAAGTTCTTGTACCTTTTCAGCTGCCTTAGTCTTCGCTTTCTTTTTCTTCAGCTCTGTGCTGAAGGATATTTTCGTCATCTTTCTGATGAAGGAAGAATAACAAAAAATTAATAGGGCAATCGATTGGTACAAGTTTAAATATACGAATTCTGATACGATTCTTAATCCTTTAGTATCAATTGAAGATCTTGCAGCAAGAACAATCATATATATTACACAAACATAAATATATATGATGCATAAATGACAATATTTGTAGTAAAGCGATTAATATAATTATGTAATACAATGAATCTAATATAATGTTATATATGATTGCAATAAATTTTAATGCAATATAATGAATCCGATAAATACTCATAATTTCGACAGATAAAAATCATAATCATCTTGTCAGTGTTAATGTACATGTTAATCTATCATTACAGGAAAGTTATATAACGTTTTTACAATGATATGATTTAATTTTTCTTGTACCATGTGAATTTTGACATGTCCACTCTGTTCGATACTGGATGAAGATACAGGCATCTTGGTTTCGTATACATCGGGTAATATTTGAATTGTCTCTCGCTGGGATGACGTGCAGTCTTCCTTAATACAGAACAAACCGAATTTCGGATGTTTGTAATTGCACTTATCTCCAAATTTACACACTGGAAATTTTCTGTAACAGAGGAAAAACAAACGAAACAGTTGAAAAGATCAACTGACGTGAATGACTGACATTTATAGTGAACGAGAAAAAATTAAATAAAACATTCATCTGCACATAATCGATGGATGTATATATATTCAGCCACTACCGCTTTAGACTGCGGCTAGTATTTACATTTTTGATTAATTTTATTATTCACGCTTGCCCCGGTCTTCAGTGCTACGAACTTATGGCTACACGCTGTAACGTAGAAAAAGATAAACATTAGTTAGAAATACTGAATGATAAAAGTGAATAATAGTAAGTATGAGAACAATTGAATAAAAAATATTAATCTGCTTAATGCTAAAGCTTGTACATAGGCACAATTTTTATCAAAAGCACAATCCGGTCCATGGATACACTTTGTTTTGGACTTGTCAGTTGTTGTTATCTTCTTGTCCATCAGGCTCTTGTTTAATTCTGGATACGAACAATCACAGTCTAAAAATTACATCTACGTATGAATTAATAAAATTATACTATTTAGCAATCAATTCGTTGAATTTCGTACCCGTTGGCTTTATTGTACTGGATCTGTCGTAAACGATGAGATTTAATTTACTCCTCTTTGCTGACTTCTCAGTTTTCTCAACATCGATATGTTCCTTCCTTTTTTTTCTTTTTTTACACTTGTGTTACACTACCTACAAATCGCACGATATATATGTATGTGCAAGCAACGAAAAGACAGAAATTTAATTGATGTGTTATTTTTTAATTGAATAATTAGGCAGAGGACTAATTAACAATATCGAATATATTTACAAAAGCACGTCTTATTATACCTCTCTTAACTTTTAACTTATGTATTTATATTGAGCCTCCTTAAAAGGAATATTCCAGAGAAATAGGTTAAAGTAATTGTACAGAGATGTCACGTAATATTTAATCAGTATAGTTTGCTCAACTATTGTTTCCTACCATATCGATACATTTTCACAGTTACTATCTATTCTAATACTTCCTCTTAACTGTACAATAATTTTTGATGATTAAAATTAATGCTGTACAAAGTAAATTATTTCTAAATTATATTATTCAGTGGTTTTGTTAATAAGTCTGCAAGTTGATTATTAGTTGGACAATAGTCTAAGCATATTACCATTGTTGTATTTTTCGCTAATAAAATGATATCTCACATCCATATGTTTGCTTCTCTTATGAAATAAGATACGTCTTAAACGTATTTACAAAAATCAATCTCTTAGGAGAAATATGCACGTAGTCGAACTATGCGTTGAAGAGGAACATAAAGAATTAGGGAACCTGGGAGGATCCACTGCATCTTATACCCTCTTCGACATTTGAGTTCTGTCTCTCGTAGAGAAAAGTTCTAGGATAACGATATACCTTCCAGTGAAATAAAGTAAAAGTAAAATCATAAAGTGCAGTAAATAATTTCTTTTACTAATAATTCCCAATAGTTCCATTTTTAATTAAGTTTAAAGCACTCCGATTGTCAATAAGTAGTTTAGTTTTTACCTTTTTATTTGTTAATATCTCTAATATACCTTTTAAATAAATCAATTCTTTGCAACATTCCGCTGCCGCTATATATTCAGCTTCAGTTGTGGACAGAGCTACTATTGGTTACTTGTGTGAACACCAACCAATCGGACCATTTCCATAAAAAATCAAATAACCCGAAGTGCTTTTTCTTGCGGATGTATCACCAGCAAAGTCCGAATCACTATAAGTAATTAGTTCGTCCACTTGATCAGAATTATTCCTGGAATATTGTATGCCAATGTTTTTGGTACCCTGTAAATACATGAGAATACGTATTGCATTATATATCTTTTTGTTCGAAGGATTTTCGATAAATCTAATAATGTAATTAACTGCAAACGCAATATCTGGGCGTATTTTTGTCGATAAATGTTGCAGAGTTCCTACCAACTTCCTGTAAGAGAAGCGAGTTTCGAATATTGTATTGTCTAAATCCGTATCTAAATTCTGTGGGTAGAATGGGACAATAATATCTTTATCTTTCAACGAAAAACACAAAACATATTTACACAAAAGATAATAATGCAATAAACACAAAATATTATATTGAAAAGATAAATCAGTTCTCTCTTTTTACACTCTCTTCTTACTCTCTCACTCTCTGTCGCTTCATCTATCGGTATTCTAATTCTCTAACTCTTCTCTAACTACTAACTATTCTAGGACATTCTTCGATACATCATTTACACTAGACGAGACTCTTCCATATCACATTTACACCGTAGACTTCATTACTATAGACAAAAGATTCTCACTCATCTAACGACACTCACACTCATACATATAAAACCAACAGTTTTCACAAATTTACTAATTGTTTATATATATTGAAATAAGTTATTTCAAAAATTCAATTTTTTATCTAAAATTTTAATCGATAGTTCAAATAATTATGAAATAATATGATATTTATTTTGTTGAATGGATGAATTGATTTTTTTGAGTTCACTGTATCACATACGTAGATGAACGCATAATAAACAATGAACAGTGTTTCTTTAACATTTACAAAAGTAAAGTAATTTGTATTATATACTTTTGTTTTTGATTACACATTAACAAGTAAGTAAACATAAGTAAAGGAACAGATGAAATAAATAGAAAAAGAACTATTGGATATAATTTATCTTTTATAGATCTTTCTGTTTTCAAAATAATCTTCGAAATTTCTTTTATATTTCCAAAAGCCAAATGAAAATGAACGAATTAGATATACCATTCAAGTATTCATATTCGTAAATATATTACACGACTACCTGCTTATGTAATTCAATAATATGTAATATATATTGAGTAATAGATAAATAAATAATTTTGCGGTTAAAATATATATAAAAAAAGTAAAAAAAAAGGAGAATAGCTTTAGAAATACTGTTTTCATTATATATAGTGAGTTATGTATGCATCTGGTGACTACAGCTACAGTTTCCATTACATACTACTATGACTATTTTTTAAGATGTTTTTCTGTACGCAAAAAATAAATGTATGAAGGTACTACGTCATATGTATTGTTTTGATTAGCATCCCTACTGAGAAAACATTAATATTCTCATTGGATGATGTTGAGTTTTTACTTTTAATTGATATTTTTGAAGTCAGTTTAAGACGACACTGGTTGTTAACTTGTACGAATATATATATTACATATAAAAATACGCAGTACAGTACAGAAAAGAAATAAATCAAATAACGGCTTAATATAACTTAGAACTATAGAAAGAACATCACACGTAATAACTTAATTTTACTTTTTACTTTTACTTTAAACGGTTTTACTTTTACGTTAAATGGTTTTACGGACAACGAGCTATGCGCTTCAATACTAATTCTCTTACTGGTTCTATACCGACAGATCTACTGCTTTACTGCTCTACTGCTGTACTGCTATATAAGTATACGATTATACTGGAGCGGCAAGGAGAGGAGAGCTGTGAGGTTAACAGAATGGTGCGATGCATGTTTATAGTGACGCGGAGAAAAGCGAGGAGCGAAATGCTACAACGGGCCATTCTTCTCATTATGTCTCAAATGTGAATATAATCGTGAATTAGCTATGTGTTATTATATGCTTAGGAAGTTCTGTCCTAATTTTTAGTAGTACGTTTGTATGTTAAGTGAATTTGAGTGACTTGAATTATACGCTGTGTTGAGCGAGTTTTGTATGAATTCTTGTATAGTTGGAATGTTAGCTACAAAATGTCTTAATGGGAGTGTCGTATGGTTTGTTTAATATGATGCGTAGAAACTTGTTCTGCATCCTTAGGATTTTGTTTGTGTCCGTTTTGACTTGACGGCAGCTGCTCAGATTTGATGTCCATAGGTAATGAATGGCCTAACTCATATTTTGTATAGATTGATTTTTATGTTCATTTTCAGTCTGCTGTTTTTAGATATGAGGAGAAAAAGTCTGTGTAAAACTGGATATGTTAGATTTGTTTATAGCAACTGCCCATGTGATTTTTGTATCGAGGATGACTCCCAGATATTTTTCGGTGAGGGACCAGGGAATGTTTTGGTCTGCAATTTTAATGGTATTTAGTGTCGGGTTTTTCTTTGTGGTGAATGAAATGACTTGAGTTTTTGCAGGGTTTATTCTCAGTTTCCAATCTATGAAATATTTATAGTAGATCTAGGTAGTTTTGTATGTACTTTGTGGCTTGTGTGGAACTTCATGATGAAGCGTAGATTGCGGTGTCGCCAAATATGGCTGTATGTGTGTATGTTTGTTCTTTTGGGAAGATTATTGATGTAGAGAATGAGGAGTCCTAGAATGGATTCTTGTGGAATCCCAGTTATAGCTTCTTTTGCAGTTGGATTTTGTTTCATTTATGAAGACATAGAATTTCCTGTTATGTAAGTAGTTATTTATGACGTTTATTAGTGATGTGGGAAAATTGGTTTTTGGTATAGGGCTTGTATTAAACAGAGTCAAAAGTTTTATTTTGTAGCGACCTATAGTCCCTCGAGTATGAGTTTCGAACACCGACTTGTACAAGCTGCAAGTGGCTGTGCGCCTAGCGTCGAAGTCTAACGATATTTGATGTTTAAGCAAACAGAGTGCGCAACACCGCTAGGATAGGTGACCACCGCACCAGCCTAGTTATAACAACAAGCGTCTAGGATAAAGGGGTCGCTGCCATCAGCCCCACTGATGAGTCTAAGCAGCGGCTCTGAGATGAAACGCCACAACCTTTCCTCACCCTTACCGAAATCACTTCCTACATTAACCTTTAAACTCATACCTTCATCCTTGCACGCGCAATCACCATACACACATCGATTCTTTCAACTTAAATCAAGTAGGAATAAGTTAGGTTGTTCGGATTTGTTTTTTTTTTCATGATAATGTGTTCGGTGACGCGCTGTAACTGTGTATAGATGAATGATTTTGTCGGAAGCCAAATTGACGTGGAACTATTATGTCTGTTTTGTTAATGTGTTCTAGAAGATGATGCTTTCAAGATTTTACCTAGGCTGATCGGTCTGTAATTTGTTACATTAGTTGTGGGTTTCCCTGGTTTTGGAATTGAGATAACTTTGGCTATTTTCCAAGCTGTTGGAGAATAGGCAAATTTGAGGCAAGTTTTGTAGATGTAACATAGCTGAACTTGGTTTAATTGGAAGGTTTTCGAGTTTGCTGGCTATTAGTTTGTCAGGTTCTGGCGCTTTATTGTTTGGGAGATGTTTGATTATGTCTTTTAATATTTTGGGAGGGCGGAATGAATGTATAACTGGAGATGAAAAGATTGATTGGGTATGAGTTAGTCTATGTTCGATGTCTTGTTCTATTGGAGAATGCTGGTTATATGCTGTCAAGTGTATATTTTCGAAGCTTCGCGAATCCTTCTCTCGTACGTATAGAGACAGGAGAGGTGTATAGTATCCTGCAAGACAGGTATTATTGATTTGGAGCCAACGGTGATTTTGTAGATGCGCCATAGCGAGTGATCCGTATTTCTTCTTTTTTGCTGGATAATTTTTGCTGCCATGTGTTATTTTTTATACGTATATTTTTTGGATCTTGTTTATGAGGATGTTTCTGTAGTTTGAAGATCGGATTTCTCTTGGAACATTTTTCGCATTTTATTTATTTTTTATTGTGTCGAGAAGGAGTGGATCTGTGATTGGGTTTATGTTGTGAGTGCTTGTGTCTAGACTGCTTGTATTGCGTTTCTGTATGCTTTTTGTATGTGTTGCGTGAGGGTTTCAATTTCTAAGTCTATTTGAATTTCGTTTGTTAAGTATAGATTAATGTTGATTTTATTGCGTATGTCTTCCAGTCTGTGTGTTCTGTCGTTTTTGTTCTTCTTGCTGTTCTGTGCAGTTGTAGTAAAAGTCCTACGAGTAGATGGTTGGAGTGTAGGTCATTGGTTTGGCAGGAAGAATAAGGTATGTTCGAGAGAAGATGTCTATGTTGGTTGGTGAGCAGTTTGGTAGGTTGTGTGTATACGTCGGGCTATGTATAATCTGGTAATTCCTAAGGTCCGAGTGATTTTTGATCCATTTGCGTTTCTATTAAGATTATTCGATGCCCCCCCCCCCCCCCCCCGGATGATGAAATGTTCTATTCCGTGAGGATGGATGATGTGGTCTAGATCTGTTTGGCTTATTTTTGTTCCGGGTGGGGTGTGTACGCGGCGCCGACCGTGCGTGTAGGAGTGATTTTGACTTTGATTGTTATGATGTCTATATTTGAAGAGGTTGGTTGTGGAATATCTTCAACTGGGATATCTTTGTAAACGGCTGTAAATATCCTCCTTTTAGTTTATTGGTGGTAGAGAGGGATCCGTCTTTTCTGTAGATGTTAAAGTTTTTGAGTCTGAGTGTGTCTGTGGGTGCCAGCCAGGTTTCGAAAACCTATTGCAATATCCGTGTGGTTATTTAGAAAATTTTGAAATTCGATACTTTTGTTTTTCACGCTAGTTGCGTTTCATAAGATAAGTTTTAAGGTTTTTTATGACTCTAACTCTTTGACTATTTGAATTGTAGCTTTTCCTCTATCGAGGTTATTTCTACATTTAGTGTAGTGTTTTTGGATCATTGTAATAATTCTTAGGAGTAAATCTAGTGTTCAAGGGAGACAACAACGCCATAAACGTTAGATAATTAACGAGTCTATCTATTAGTCAATTGATATCCAGCTTGCATAGAAGACACTTTATATACAG